ACCGCTTTCGCCGTTGGATTCCTCGCGTCGAGATCTTCAAAACTAGATCCAATGTTAATAGGTTTTGTCGATTTTTTTTCACGAAAAAACGAACGAAAGAAACCGATGAAAAAACCGAACCAGGAACACGAGTTTTTTTTCCTTTCCGAAAGAGGCACGCCCGTGTCTCTGACGAAATCACAACCGTGCCTCTCACGGAAGCAAAACTGTGCCTCTCGTGAAAGAAAAAAAACAAAAAATGTATTTTTTTTTCCTTTTCGAAAGAGGCACGCCTCTCGCGAAAGCACAACCGTGCCTCTCGCGGAAGCAAAACCGTGCCTCTTGCGAAAGGAAAAAAAAACAGAAAACGTGTTTTTTTTTGTTTCCAAGGAGGCACGGCCGTGACTCTCGCGAAAGCACAACCGTGCTTCTCGCGGAAGCAAAACCGTGCCTCTCGCGAAAGGAAAAAAACAGAAAATACGTTTTTTTTTCGTTTCCAAGAGGCACGACCGTGCCTCTCGTGAAAACAAAACTGTGACTCTCACGAAAAAAATGTGTTTTTTTGCGCAAAAAAAATATTTTTTTTAAAAAAAAATGTCGAAAAGCTAGGGAAGACCGGTGAAAAACCAAAACGTTAAAAAAAACCCAAAACCCGTTTAAAAAGACGAAAACATGTGCGAAAAAATAAAAAATAAAATTCGGAGGGAGCGCCCAGAGCGCGACATGTGGACGAATGGCTGAGAGCGCGATGATCGTTGCGAGGATCCCGAAGGAGCGCTCCGGGCCCACAAATCTTGCAGTGCGAAAAAAGTTGGCTGAAAAAACAGCACTCGATCGGGATCGATCTCACACCCTCGCACTTAGAAACAGCGATGCTAAACACTCCACCAGCTAAATGCCAATGGTTCTTGACGGCGCGAGTATTCTTAAGAAGAGAAACGTAGACGCACTATTAATTTCGCATTATGCTGTAGAGTTTAGATTTTTCATTTATTTGAAAACATGTGCGCATATTATAAATGAAGTTCATGATCATCCAAAAAAAGTCCGCGTGTTTAAAAAATAGTTCACAAAAAACGAAAACATTCATGTATTCAAAATAAAGTTCACAAACTCAAAAGAAGTTCATCGTTTTTTAAAAAAAGTTCATCGAACAATGAAAGCAGTTCATCGATTTGAATAAAAAAGTTCATCTAATTTGGAGAAAAGTTCATCGATTTGAAAAAAGTTCATCAGATTTGGAAGAAGTTTATCAATTTTGAGAAAAAGTTCATCGATTTTGAAAAAAAGTTCATCGATTTTGAGAAAAAGTTCAAAAAAATAAAAAATGTTCAACAAATTTGAAAAATAAAGTTCATCAATTTTGAAATAGGTTCATGAGTTTCAAAAAAATCAGTTCATGGATTTTGAAACACGAGTTTCAAAAAATTTATTATTACAAATTTGGAAAAGGATAGAGAAAAAAAGACAAAGAGGAAAGAAGAAATGGATATAAAACGTGTATCTTATCACAGCTGCTACAGGCGCCGGTTAGCAAAAACAGTATAAACCGGCGCCTGCAGCGCCAAATAGAAATTGCCACTGCCGCCGTTGTTTGACATTGTGCCTTCCTGACAAATAAGCGGCGGATGTTGCCTTTTGGCTTGCAAAACCATAAACGGATGAGTTATTTTTTTCTTATGACTTCAGATTTCACACAAGCACACAAGGAAGCTTTGGCAGGATGTTCTTATCATTTCATTTCATGATCCGTGTTCTGCTTATGTACTCCCTCCGTTCGAAACTACTTGTCATCAAAATTGTTAGAATAAATTCGAGGCATATCGTCAATCATTCAAGGATCAAGCAATCACACAAGTACGACACCAAGATTTGTTAACGAGGTTCATCGATATGGCTATATCTCCGGGGCCTGACTACGGGCGCTCCTCCCCGTGACACCATCATAATACCGCACCTGATCGCCCTGGACACCGGCACATGCCGCCGGCTTCCCCTGCGTTCCGGTGCTATTATGTTGGCATAGGTTACATCGTGTGTCTACCCCCGCTATATAAGAGAGGCCTAGGATACAAGTGTCCTACTAGGACACGACTCCACATCCTATGTAAACACGATACAACTACAAGTCCAACTGTAACCTACCTTGTACACTATATTCGACACAACTCCAACAAACTCCACCTTGACGAATATTCTCCACCACCTTGAGTTCGTCCATGCGTCAAACTTCCATGTACATTGGACTTGAGTTTATCCCATGAGCACCGCTGCTACTTCAAAGACTCCATATGACTCCACCTGCAACTTGTAGTCCCTTCTATTCTTGACCACAGTCAACACTCGAGCAAAATTAAGTTCCGCATTACTCTTGTTTGCGCTCCCAACTTCCAGAGCATCAGTCCAACGCCATCACACACTGATCGCTGACCTGCGTGAAAGTGAACAACTCACATATTGGGTGTCACACATAAGAGTTACCTGAACTCAACACCACCGCTCCTTTCTTGACCGTCTGTCTGAAACTTGAAAGAATTTCACCGTTGCTTGTAGTCATCCCGAGTCAAATTCGCAGTTGTCTCACCACATGTATGACCACCAGAGCCCTGGCCCGTCTCCATGCCTCGTGCGTACCGCACACCTCGCCGCTATTACCGCGTCGAGCCTCCGCTGTCCTGGTCGAGTCTCAAGGGTCGCGAAACCACACCACTCAACCCCCACTGCAGAGTACCACCGATCATCACCGACCGATGACGAGTTTCACGCTTCCATCAGACCACTGGGCTCCAGCCCGAATTGCGTGTCACTCGCTTTTCCTGCTGAATAGGCTTCGACTCTCTGTCGACTTACGCCGTAGCCCTCAATCCAGCTCCACCTTCAACATGACTCCATGGTAGATGATCAGTCCACCCACGCGCCTCATCGATTTCAAGCTCCGTGTATACACCACCTTGAATCAATCCCGCGCCATAGTCTTGTCGAAGCCACACAAGCCTCGGGCTTGTGCCACCTGTTTCCACGCCCAGAAGTCGGTCACCATCGGCATCACGCTCCTATGTCGTCGTCGCCGATCCCACCACCGTCTTCTGTATCAACCGACCTGCGTCGATCCCGTCAGACTGCCCAGTCTGACCCAGCCGAACTCGTTCGACTGTATGACACACTCAAGGCTCCCAAATCGTCTTCCACGAAATTTTCATCCATCAGACATAATTCCATCTTAGCTAACAAGACTTCCCGCAACGCCCTCAAGCATCCCTTTTGTGCCAACAAATCTTTCACCCTTGTCTGCCATAACCCAAGGTTTTCAGTTTCGTGAACTTCTTCACCTCAAACTTGGTACCCGTTGGCGTCATGGTTCTTTGTACGGCTGATCCTACGAAAAATTATCCAAGCTTTCCACATGATGCCCCAAGCACACGAACAGCCTCCGCGTACTAATAGCAATTCCAATCAACTTGGTCTTCACGTGAGCAGCTCCTGTCTTGGCTTTAACTCCTGATGCTAAGCTAATTGCTTTTGCCTTGCTGATGCCTACGCAAGTAGTGCTCCTGATAGATACATATCGCTTGACGGATGTTTTCCTTATCCTAGACTGATTTGCCTGCCTGTCCGTGTCAGTACTATGGAGACTCGGTCTCCACTTTTTTTTTCAAAACAAATCCCCGGCTTGCTAGCTGTACGCATGCATGTGGCTTCATCACGGCTCCTTGAGCCAGCCGCGACTGTGCGTGGCCACGCCCTGCGCTGCCTCATGGACCTGTCCCGACCTAGGCTTCCAGCACCGGTGCCTTACGCGCTTCGGATCGAATCCGGTCAGTCGTCCACGTCGATACGCGTCGCCACCGCTGAGACAATTCGATCCGGCTCACCGCCTGTGCACACTACGCCTTGCCCAAATCGCCGATAGTCCTCCATGCAAACAGATCGCTCCCGTTTTAGACCAGATCGTCTTGCTGCTTCCTCCTGTCCTGTCCCACGCGATCGCATCAGACAATATTCCGCCGACTAGGCCATCGACCAGTTTCCGCAGCCACGATCTCTTCAAAACCTCCTTCATTAATCAACTCCACCGCCTCCCGGACCTTTTCAACCTTGCTTATGATACCACTTATTAGAATAAATCCGAGGCATACCGTCAATCATCCGAGGATCAAGCAATCACACAAGCACGACACCGAGATTTGTTAACGAGGTTCACCGATATGGCTACATCCCCGGGGCCTGACTACGGGCGCTCCTCCCCGTGACACCGTCACAATACCGCACCTGGTCGCCCTGGACACCGGCACATGCCGCCGGCTTCCCCTGCATTCCGGTGCTATTATGTTGGGATAGGTTACATCGTGTGTCTACCCCCGCTATATAAGAGAGGCCTAGGATACAAGTGTCCTACTAGGACACGACTCCACATCCTATGTAAACACGATACAACTACAAGTCCAACTGTAACCTACCTTGTACACTATATTCGACACAACTCCAACAAAGGGATAAAAAGGGATGTATCTATAACTAAAATATGTCTAGATACATCCCCTTTTATTCATTTTAATGACAAGTATTTTCGGACGGAGGGAGTAGGTATTTAAGCATGCATGTTGAATAGTGACATATACACAAGTTGTATGGGCACTTTGCTATGGCTATTGGGTTAGGGCTAGATGTTTTTTTTCTCCCGCTACAACGCACGTGCATTTTTGCTAATAATAATAAAGCATGTTTTTTTCTAAATAATAAAGCATGTTGCAATACTCTACAAAAAAATACTGTATCTGTTTTCTTGTTGACATCATTATACTGTATCTGTTTGTTGGAATGAAATCACAACATACCCTAAAAAAAATATGAAAAATATGGGATATCCTGGCAAGCAGTTTTCACGCTTCAATTAAAGATCTCCAATTCCTATCGTCGGCTTTTAAAGAGCGGAGTCTGACTTAAGTCCTCACGAGTAAACTCCGTCCATCTGCCCCATCTCCCATCCCTCGCGTCGTCTGCCTCGCGGCGCCGGCGACGTAATGCCTCCTAGGAAGAAGCGCAAGAGCGCGCCGGCGCTGACGGTGGTGAGCGCCCCGGACCACATCAGCGCCCTCCCCGACAGCATGCTCCACCACGTGCTCTCCTTCCTCCCGGTTCAGGCGGCCGTGCGGACGTGCGTGCTCGCCCGGCGCTGGCGCCACCTCTGGAGGTCCACCACCGGCCTGCGCATCGTCGGGCTCGATGACAAGAAGCACCTCCGGAACTTCATGCACCACCTGCTCGTCCTGCGTGAGCGCACCGATCTAGACACTGTCGAGATCAAGCTCGGGGTATTCGTGGAAGAAGACCAGACTCACGTGAACCTCTGGACCCGCTTCGCCGTGATGTGCAGTGCCCGGGCGCTCACCCTCCATGTGAGCGGCCCTCTACGCCTCTACCTGGACGACCTGCCTCTCGTCTCTCGGCATCTCAGAACGCTGGACCTTCACGATGTAGACCTACCAAAGAGCTTTATTGATTTCGCTGGCTGCCCAGCGTTGGAGGGTCTGAAGATGAACCTCTGCAGCGTCAGCGTCGGCAGGATATCGTCGTGTTCCCTGAGGCATCTGAGCATCACCGGCTGCCACTTCGGCTTGGGTCGCCGGGTGATCGTTTCTGCTCCGGGCCTCGTCTCTCTGATCCTGAAACTAGTCGGATCGTCGGACACTAAAACGCCTTGCCTTGAGAGCATGGCGTCGCTAGAGACGGCGCGTGTTTATCTTGGCCTTAACTGCGCGGATGTATGTTTGAATTACGACGACTCTGGTCATTTCTGTGGAGCTAATGATAAAGCATGTAACAATTGTGTTCCCATTAAGGATGATGGCAGCGGCGATGCTGTGCTTCTGGGTGGTATCTCAAGTGCTACACATCTTGAGCTGAGATCTCTACCTAGAAAGGTATGGCATTAGATCATCATCTTGCATTTTCAGTAAGGTTTACTTGATTTACTTACTTTTGTATTTTCTTTCCAGTTCATTTTCGCAAGAGATTTGAAACACTGCCCTACATTCAACAAGCTAAAGAGTTTACTACTCAACGAGTACTGGTGCGAGGCTCCTGGTTTGGATCCACTGCTTTGCATTCTGAAAAACTCACCAGTTCTAGAGAAACTAACTCTTCAACTGTTTTTGATGGTATAGAACTTTTAAATGGCAGTTGCTGCACTAGTATAGTTATTATCAGTCATCCATCTTGGTTTAAAAGTTTGTTTTTCTTACCGTAGGGACAAAATAATAAACTGCATTTGAAAGGAAGCTACAAATCAATGGAGAGACCATCTGCAATATCACGGCACCTTAACATAGTTGAAGTCAAGTGTGACGTGGTCGAGGAGAGGATTTATGAAGTTATCAAGTTACTGTGTGCTGCACTTAACATACGTGAGCAAACTAATGACACTTTCCATGCTCTCTAGCTATATTCCAAAATTAATTTTTGTGTGTGGGAAGGAAACTTTGTTTTAACCATATGTGGGAACGGAAACTAACAAAGCAAATAGTGAAGTACAAACTTGTGAATTACTCCCTCCGTTTCAAATTACTTGACTTTCATTTGTCTAGATACGAATGTATCTATACTTGTTTACTTTCTAGATACATCCATGTCTAGACAAATGGAGGTCAATTAATTTGGAACGGAGGGAGTAGTATGTAGAAAGAACAGTTTTGTAAGGATTGCAGATTGTTTGAGGCATGGAAATCTGAGCGCAAAAGGAAAAACAACCCTTTTGTTGGCAGAGGATGTTTATTTTTAACTGTGTTGCAGAAAGAAACAGAAAGACGCAACTTGTGGGCTTGCTGATTAGTTCTGGTCTTGTAGGCACTAGCACAAATTTCTGAATAGATTATTCAGAGTAGTGATACAGTACCTTCACATTTTGATTGGCTCTGATCAAGCTCAAATGTAAGTTCAAGCGTACCTTCATTTATTGTGTTGTTGAATAATACATAGTTTGTGCTAATCGGTAACAATTTTTGTGGCTCCCTAGACCTGAGCAGCTGCTTGTTCTTATGGGATAAACTATTCGGTGCTCGGTTTCCTTGTGATTCAGCACTAAATTATTTGCCATTTCTGTACCAGGAAGACTTACAGTTCACATAAAATTTCTTCAAAAATATAAGTCTATACACATAACATTTCTAGCAGTGTATGTAATGATTGCTTATTTCACATTTCCTTTGCCATGAATTTTTGACATTTTTCGGCATTTTCATTTGGAAGCAGTTTTGCTAGATGTTTTTCACATTAGATTGTCAGCTAGAAATACCTGTATGAGATATAATGGAAGTTTGTCCCCAAATTAATGTCAAGGTAAGTTGCACATGGTAAAGCGAATCTCCTTCATACTTACCCAACCATGTCTCGGTGTCTTGATTTTCATTGTCAAGTAACTGAACCTTTTTTTTACTTCTGATAATACACCAGACTCTTACGTTGGCTTTTCATTTCTGTACAGGATTCATTTTCGAGTAGGGTGAGAAGATGTGGATCATTGGTGGATATATCATGTCTTTGAATATTCAGAAATGCAAGGCTGAAAACACATATGCTACCACAACGTTTCCGTCCATTTCATTTTTTGCTTCTTATGCCAAGTTCTACCCTGAGAGGAAGAGGGGTAGAATCCACAATATACACGTTATGAACCCTAGACCATGTAGCTAGACTTGGTATTATCGTATCCTGTGATTTTTGTTGCACTTCTGGTTCATACTGTATTTAGTGACCTGATTATTGTGTCTACTGTGCCAAGAGGTGTTCGATCCGTTGGATGTCATTGATTTACTGTTCAATTTTCTGCCTTTTGCCTACGCATATATATGTCCCAGCCGCCAATTTATAGGAGCCGCTGCTTTTATATAGCCAAGTAGTGATCTGAAGCAGCTATGACATGGCACCAGTGCTTGTGGAGAATTGGAGAGGTGAAAAAGTTGTTTGCCCGTCAGGACTTGTTTGGACCAAGTTATGCAAAGATTGCAAGAAGTTACTTGTTTGGAGAATTGAAGATTGCAAGACTTTATTACTCATACAAGTAACATCCTTAGCTAGGATTCGATATTTAGCCATATATATGTGACTTATCTGCTCCTTTGCATCCAACCGTTCGGATGGGGGATTTTCAGAATCTGGGTATTACGGGTTTCTATTGAGAACCAAAGCAAATGAATGGAACTACCCTCTTTCATTGATGATTCTACATATATAGGTACACGGAGGACGCCTCGTTGGAGAGGCGTCTGTATGTGAACCGGCGCGACGGTTGCCGAAATATCATCCGTCGGCGGTTAATACAAGCAGGGATTATCCCTTAATTAAGTATTTAATTAATTTTAACACTCTCCCTAATCCATGCTTGTCCAGGTAGCATCATCATCTTGAAAGAGTCTCCTCCAAAAACCCTGTGGGAAAAATATGAGGAGTGGTGTAGAATATGTTGCTAAAACTGCTTCAAACCCAGTGGGAAAAATAAGGAGAAAATGGTGCAACATATAATGGTTATTGTCTCTTTCAACTCAATACGAGAAACCCCATAGAGTTTAGAGGACAATAAATATATCGTATATACTTCCCTAAAAACCCCGGTGGGGAAAACAGAAAATATGACACATGATCTCATGTTGATATTACCTCATCAAAAACCTTTATGAGAACCTGAAAAGTAAACTCATAAAGGGAAAACGAGTATAATATGATGCATTCAACAGGAATAATTCAGGAAGATACTCCCCCTGATTCTTGCAAAATTCGAAGCCGTCACATACCAAAACATAGAAGTTGGTAGAGACCCAAATCAGTCATGATTTGACTTGCAAGATATGCAATATAGTGATATTGCTTATTATGTAACCTGTTTGCATCCGGGCAACACAAAAAACATTATCGTTGAGATAATGGTTGGTGAATAGCCATGAGGTCTGTTTTAAAGACTCTTCATGAGAGGGCTACCACACCTAGTAGGAACACTAAACTTGTCTATGATTTGATATAGTGGGGATGATCGATGTATCCAATGATATTGGTGTTCAGATTTCTCCGAAACTAAAAAACGAGGACAAGATGTTTCATGCCTTGGAGATATCGAAAGATATTCTTGAGTACCAACCAATTGTGTTTGGTGGATCCAATGGCATTACGGAACGTTAAGTCCCAATATCTCATTTCCATCATCTCTTGGTCTAAATAGATCTTTCTCTACGTCTAGAGAATGAACTACCATGAGAGTTATAGATGGATAAGATTTGTCCATAATGAATTTCTCCAATGTATTATGGATATAGACAACATAGTATACCATAATGTATGAATGAAGGTGCTCAAGTCGTAGTAACGAGCGATATTTTGGTTTACACAAATCCTTCATTTAAACTCCGTCATTTAGATGATTACATGTGTCATCATTGCAGAGACACAAACATGGATAATCATCACTGTAGGAGTAATCCTTGTGTATAAGTAACTCACTACGTCGGTTGTACCATATGTACCGACAACAATAAGTCTTATGGTGACTTATTGTTTTTACACAATGTATGTTGCGTATTGCATTTCGATTCAGAAGAGAGATTCCACCGGGAATCAATCATATGTGTATGAATCTAGTGATCCACATGGATATGTGAGCACTACATCTATCAACTGCATAGATAGATGATTTTGTACTGCCAATGATATAAGTTATCGGAAAGAGATTCCACCTCTGGAGAATAGTTAGATATCTGCGTAAACCCTTGTGCTACAATACTTGCTCTTTATTTCACCACCTCGTTGTTATCAATTCTGCTTCCAGAAGAAAACTGATGTAGGTATTGCTTATGAATACCTTTCCATTATTGAGCAAGATCATTTGTACCTAGATTATACCCTTTGCTTGAGTTCAGTCCGAGTGTTGTTCACACTTTGCCACGGCCATGGTCTTTGGATCTGAATCACTTGAAAGGTTTTTTCAATCTAGTTGAGGAATGTATGTCGACAATTGTAGACTTCTGGTTATATGTTTCTCTAGAATCTATATATCAATATATAGTTGATGGAGATATCGTTACCCATAGTGACTGCTCGCGATTTCCCAATGCGATTGAGTCGGGTATTCCGATGTCCCAGTCATTTTGTGCACTATGACCTGGGTTGATGGAGGTTTCCCGTTCACTGGGTGTATACTACCCATCAGGTGTCTGTCAACATGAAGTTGACTTGCATTTACTGATTCACAAGCCTTGATATCCTTGCTTGCGAGAAGCTGAATCCCGATGTGCTATTGTCGTACTTCTCCCCCTGTTGCTTTGAACGGGAAGTTGAGTGGTTTTAGTTGGTACCTCCACTCTTTCCGGCATATTTTTTAGGATTGTAGGATTGTATGACATCTTTATAGTCAGTAAATGAATCTGGCAGGTTATTTGCATTGTGTTGCAAATCTTCTGAACGCATGGTTCAGATCTTTGAGTACGTGGATTTGAGGCAGAAATGTGTTGAACATTCCACTAATTTCCTGGCATTCTTTATGGTACTTGAAATCTCCCCCTGATGCCTGAAAATGTTCCTCATTGAATCAACATACTGGCCTAAATAACTCCCCATGCGAGGGGCTTGAGGTATTGACGAAAATACAGTTATTCCTCACATGGATCCCAACTATATGTTGAGGGGCCAATGATGTATGTTGGGGTGGTGATATCGGTATGCAACCGAAATACCGCAGATGGGAAATACTTGGTAGATTTCCACGTATCAAAGATAGAGGGGAATAATAGTATGCAGTTTGGTCATGAGCGTGTAAAACTGTATGACTCCAACGTAAAGTTGGTAAATTGCAATTCCAAAGTAAAGATAATGCAATGAGCTTAACTCTTTGGATAAAGGATTCTACCAAACCATTTTGAGTCTAGACATTAGGACAAATTGCTAAACTTCAATCCAAGGGCCATAAAAGAAGGCACTCAAGGAGAATTCTGCAATGTTATCCATTCGATTTGCTTAAAATCGATGTCAGGATAATGAGCCAATGGTTTCGTGTGAATAAAGCACACACTTAAGATCATCATGTAGATATGTCTTTTAGAACCATGGAATACCAGAATAGTCTAGTCAACGGATGGGAAGAGCCACTTACCTCAACTTGATGCATTCAAGGAGTCTGAGTGGTTCAGCGTAGACTTTAAAGTGTGCGAGCCTTAAAATTAGCTTCCCTGTGTCACTTGTAGTGCACATAAAATCCAAATGGTGTTAGAATTTAGCATCTAATAATGATAAACTATTGGAATTGCTGATAGTTTCGGTTTCAACCCAATGTCTCGATGACCAAGATGAGTATGCCAAGTTTTTCATGTACAAGACATTTTGGAAAACTATCTTGGGTGCAACATATGCTACAGAGGGAGTATGTGTTTATCACATTGACATTCTTTATGAACATGTCACAGCGGTCGTGATTGATTTCTCCCCCACAACAAACTTGTAAAATTTTGACAATAACATCTCCTTCATTATATTAGGAAAACACAAGGTGATGAGTTCGATCTACTGCCCATGTGTAGACTATCTCTATTACTGTGAGATCTGTATGATCTACTGCCCATGTGTTTATGTTCCCACAATTGAGGTTAGTTCCATTCATTTGCTTTGGTGCTGATAACGTAATGAGAACCAAAGCGAATGAATGGAACTATCCTCTTTCATTGATGATTCTACATATATAGGTACACGGAGGACGTCTCGTTGGAGAGGCGTCTGTATGTGAACCGGCGCGACGGTTGCCGAAATAGCATCCGTTGGCGGTTAATACAGGCAGGGATTGTCCCTTAATTAAGTATTTAATTAATCTTAACAGTTTTCTTTTGGTCTGTGAATCCTTGTGTGCATCTTTTAGTGTACGCTCATAAGTAGCAACCAAATCAAGCAAAAAAAATACCGTGAATGAGGAACGTCTCACTTCCAATCTAGGAGGCTTATCATAAAGTGATTTTATTCATTCTTTGAGACAAAATCCAAGGTTTGGGATGTCAAAGTTCTTTCTTTACTTCTAAGAATATAGATTCGTCTCCAACCCAGCTCATGACCAAAGGGCTGGTAAACGTGTTTTTGTAATCACGAAAATCATAATTTGAAGTCTCGAAAACCATGGAATATGTAATCATGCCTTGAGCAATCCCTACCTTTAAAAAATGGAATATTGACTTGTTCTAAAAAGGAATAATCATATGTGACAAGCTTGTCCGTACAAGTCACATAAACTATTTTTTTAGAATGAAGGCTCCAAGTTCCCGGCTTTGAATTAACAAAGCCATCAACCGGCCAGGATTACACAAAGCCACCAAGCATGAGCGACCAAAAGATACAAGGGAGCTGATAAGCAGCTAATAACACAACGCACACTACTGCACACAAAGAAGATCCATGAAAACCTGCAAGTAATGTGGGAGCCCGCTGCACATCGGCACCAAGAACGTGGAACAGAGTAGCCTCGAGGATCAGACTTT